CAGTGATTATCTGTATACACAGTGCCTTCCCCAGTGATTATCTGCATGTACAGTGCCTTCTCCAGTGATTATCTGCATGTACAGTGCCTTCTCCAGTGATTATCTGTATACACAGTGCCTTCTCCAGTGATTATCTGTATACACAGTGCCTTCTCCAGTGATTATCTGCATGTACAGTGTCTTCCCCAGTGATTATCTGTATACACAGTGCCTTCCCCAGTGATTATCTGCATGTACAGTGCCTTCTCCAGTGATTATCTGTATACACAGTGCCTTCTCCAGTGATTATCTGTATACACAGTGCCTTCTCCAGTGATTATCTGCATGTACAGTGCCTTCTCCAGTGATTATCTGTATACACAGTGTCTTCTCCAGTGATTATCTGTATACACAGTGTCTTCTCCAGTGATTATCTGCATGTCTTGTTGCACTCTACAGTCAGGCTCGGCAACTGGCATCTTCACCTGCTGAGCTCTCTTGTCAGTCCCTGTATCCATTTCTTACAGCTGCTAGTTGACGACAGCAGCTCCACAGAGAAATCCCAGTATTTCTGAGTACTGGGTGTGTGCGTGCACTTTTGAGGCTCTTTCCCTGGTCCATTGTTTGGCAATGAGCAGAAGGCTTGTGGGTCACTTCTGGGTAGAGTCAGTAGATGAGAATCTTGGAAATGTACTTTCTTTCAACTGTGTGCCTTCTGATGAAGACCTGGGGATGACTGAGGACACATGCTCACTACGGAGAAGCTAAGAAGATTGTCTTAACCCTCAGCTGAGTGGCCCTGATGTGCTGTGCCACCAAGACTGTGGGATTTATATTACCACATATTCTAGTTTGTCCAGACTAACAAGGGCTTGCCGGCAGGAGGAAGGGGGCTATCCCAGGAATGGAGGAATAGGAGGAGAAGGTGGTGTCTATATATATGCCTGATGGTAGTAGTAACCTCGTAAGACACACTTCTTGCTGGATCTGGGGACAGACAGTGATCAGGCACTGCAGAGGGTGACTTTCTCCCCCTCACCACCTTTAAATCTGTGAGCTGAGGAAGAACATGAATAGATTAGTCTGACTTGGGGGAAAGGATAGCTCAAGAAAGAAAATAGATCTGGGCCTTGCTCATGCACAAGCATGACGTCTTGCCTTTGGATCCTCAGCACCTTTGTAGAAGTCACCATGGACCAGCTAGGCAAATACACACACACACACACACACACACACACACACACACACACACACACACACACACGGTGAGTGGGGAGGGAGAAAAGGAGGGGGAGGGAGAGAGAGAGAGACAGAGAGAGAGACAGACAGAGAGAGAGAGAGAGAGAGAGAGAGAGAGAGAGAGAGAGAGAGAGAGAGAGAGAGAGAGAGAGAGAATCCAAGTCTAGCATGGTGTACGTGGTGTATGAATGAATTTACTTGGTGTTACTCATAGGAACATGGGTGAGGGCTTGGTTGCCTACAAAAGCATGGCCAAGTTATGGGCAATTACACCACCAAAGCAAAATCTGTCTCTGGAAATAGCCATAAACGACTTTTCCATTTTGGGAGAGTGGAAGGACCTCTCGAGCCTGGTGAACCACTGATGAGGTGCCTGTGGGAGCCCACACATTCCTTGTGTGCCACATGTGGACAACGTTGTGGCCTAGTGAGCCCTCTCCTCCACAAAGGGAGTTAGTTAGTGGGCCCAGTCATATTTCTGTGATTCCAGAGTTACACAAAAAGAGACCAGTACCCTCTTCCTCTCCGGGCTTGGGCTTAGGTTCTGGCAACATGGCTAAACACACCAAGGTCGGAATTGTTGGGAAATACAGGACCCACTGTGGTGTCTCCCTCTGGAAAATGGTGAAGAAAATTGAAATCAGCCAGCACACCAAACACACTTTTCTTTCTGTGGCAAGACCAAGATGAAGAGACCAGCCATTGACATCTGTGTGGTTACTGCATGGAAACAGTGACTGGTGGGGCCTGGACCTACAACACCACTTCTGTGGTCACAGTGAAGTCTGCCATCAGAAGACTGAAGGAACTGAAAGCCTGAGCCTGCCTAGCCACGACTAAATGGGTAACTTACATAAAAAAGAGACCAGTAGGAAATTCTTTCCTTTCCTGGAGGAGGACGAAGGGGTTACTGGGTATTGAAACTATGGCCTTGTTCTCTCTTAAAAACAGCCTATTGATGAATTACACCCCCAGCTACTAGTATCCTTAGAACAGAAGGTTTCTCTGTGGACAGAGTTAAAGCCAACCACCAGGTGTGCTAAGGGATCCTGTAGGTAAGTTTCTGTTATGTTACCTTCAATAGATATCAATTATGAATTGATTTTAGGGGTGCTAGAGATAATTCTGGGCCCCCTTCAGGCTAAACATGTACTCTACCACTAAACCACAGTTCCTGGTTGTGAAATTTTAGCTACACCACTGTCTTGCCAACTGAGAAGGTTGACGGGTGTAAGCAAAGGCAAACTTCACGAGACAAGAACAGCAGAAGCTATCATATGAAGTCTTTCAAATTTTAAAGTTAATTAGTTAATTAATTTTACTTTTTGTAGTACTGGAGATTGGACCTAGGTTCTCTCATGCTATGCAAGCATTCAACTGCTGAGATATATTCCCAGTCTTCTTTTTACTTTTTATTTTGAGACAGGGACTCACTGAATTGCACACGCTGGCCTTGAACTTGCAACCTTCAAACTGAACTTCCCAAATAACTAGGATATGAGCCTGCATCTGGTTCTCTTTTAGTTTTTAAGGGTAGAGTCTCACCCAGGTGGGTCCTAAACATTTAGGCTTGAGCTGTTCTCATCCCCAGCCTCTCAGATAGTTGGGACTACAGGCACACGCCATGATGCACAGCTTTGGAGTCTAACCCAGACACCGATGTTTTCATCCTGATTTATAGTATCTAATTGGCTGTGACACTGGGCAGCATGGACTTGGTGTGCAGTCACATGTAGGAGCTTCCTGCCAGGAAGGTGCATACCCTGCAGCTCAGAAGCACCTGGAGAACCTGAGAGCCATTCTCAGAAATGCAGCTACCAAAAGATTAGGAGCACAGTCTCTGAGACTGCACAGAGATGAAACAAAAAACACAGAAGAGAAACACAGCCCTGCAGGAGGACAGAACCCTAACTTTGGTAATCAGAAAGCACACAGCAGGTCCTTGAAGCTCATTGGCCAGTCTGTCGAGCTGAGTCAATGAGCTCCAGGTTCAGTAAGAGACCCTGTTTCATAATATAAGGCTGAGGATGACTGAGGAAGATGCTTGACATTGACCTCTGGCCTCAGTCTGCACACATCCTCACAAACATGTGTATGTGTGAATACATCACACACAGTTTCACACACACACACACACACACACACACACACACACACACACACACACACACTGGACAGACAGAAAGAGACAGTGACAAACAGAGAAAGGCAAAGGCAGATGGAGAGACAGAATAAATCAGGTTCTTTCTAAAATTTTATAATTGCTGGGTGGTGGTGGCGCACGCATTTAATCCCAGCACTCAGTAGGCAGAGGCAGGCGGATCTCTGTGAGTTTGAGGCCAGCCTGGCCTACAACACTATGCAGAGAAACCCTGTCTCAAAAAATAAGGTAAAAGACATTATTATTGATTAATTAATTTAAAATATGAAAACATTTTCTTCCAGTTGTAACCGGTTTGATGATACGCAAACTTTCTTCCTCAGATTCCTGCTTCACAGAGGCTCGGCAGCTTGCCCAGCTGCTTTACAACCCAAGAAGCCTTCTACTGTGTCCTCTGTTTCTTCCTTTGCATTGCGAAGAGATCCAGCCAGTCTCCTTTAGGACAGAGGTATACTTCATAATGCAAAACTTCCTCATATGAAAACTGTTCACCCTCCTCCTCATCTTCCTTCCCCAGGATACATCCTTAGACCTAGGACTTCTTTTGTCTTTTCTCCACTATTTACTGATCCCACTCTGCCCTCTCCTAATTTCCTCCTGTAAAAGTAGATTTTGAAACAATTGTTTTAAAGAATGTAAATCAGACAAAAGGGAGACTGTTTATTTGATTAATTTTATTGAGTTCCTGATTTTAAGTACATTGCTTCCACAACCAGATGTTTGGTAGCAGGAAATGTTAGGACGACTAAATAATATTTCCTGTCTTACTGGCTTTCTCACTAAAATGCATCTTATTTTTTCTTATGTTCTTTACATATAGAATGACACATATGAATGAGAATTTTTAATTCTGTTACCTTAATTTCTAGTGAGAACTAGGAAGAAAGCATTTTTGAATCATATACCAATAGTTTATGTTTATATGATCTATTTACTAACAAACCCAAATGTATTTATATAGTTTCTTTTGTAAGGAACGTATGAAGTCAAGAGCAAAGTTGAAACTATATTTGGTAAATGATGATTCAGTGTTTTAACCTACTGAGAAATGACTCAGATATTTTATGATTATGCCAATTTAATTTGTATTATGTAACTTTAAAATTTTAAGTTATCAAAAGTTCATTTATATTCCAGCATGGTGACATACACTCATAATCCCAATATCTGGGAGGCTGAGTTCAAGGCCAGCCTGGTCTACAGGGCAAATTCCAGGTCTCAATAAGGCTCTGGAAGAAGAGGAAGCAGGAGGAAGAGGAGGAGGAGGAGAAGAGGCCCATAAATAACTATTATCCCATTTGTTTTAGTGATTCTATCCATAGATTAGTTATGACACTTAGATGTTAGATAAATATAGTCCTAATTTCAAGTTATTTCCATGTTAAAGAACCCCAACCCCTAAGAGTTAAATTGCTGTTTTTGGTGCACAGGGGATAATGGATATTTTTAAACACACCTCTGAGTACTTCGGTTCATTTACTCTTCTAATTTTGAGAAGGTGTCTTATTGAAGAGCCCTTGCTGGCCTGGAACTTGTACTTGATGGCCTCAAACTCATGGTCCTTTTGCTTCAGCTTGTCTGGAGGTGGGCTTATACTACCATGTCTAGCATGGGTTCTAGGGATTTGAGCTGAGGTCCTCACACTTGCACAGCAAAATTTTCCCCCTCAGTCACCTCCTCAGTTGTGTGGTATTTTTAGATAAGGTCTTTCTGTAAAGCACAGGCTGGCTTTCAAGTCTTCAACATCTGCCTAATCTCAAGTGCTGGACTGGCAGGCATGTGCCTGGGTTCAATACACTTTGACTTGTGATATTTTTGCCTTCAATGGCTTTATAAAAATGTAATCCTATAGTAAGTTGCCGGGGCGAAGCTAATATGGATGTGTTTGTAACTGTGTTAAGTAAGCAAAGTAAATATTGGACTAGAACTAGATATAAAACCAGAGCTTTGATGTGAGACTATTTCTTTGATTCATTTTATTGAGTTCCTGATTTGAAGTACATTGTTTCTATAACCAGATGTTTGGTAGCAGGAAATGCTAAGGCAGCTAAAGCCATTGCAAACCAATGGCTTTCCTAGGGATTCTTTCTCTCTTATCCTCCCTCATTTCCTCAAACCCCCCCCCCACACAATTTATTTTTACAATGTTGGGGATAGAATCCGGGCCTCATCCATGCTCATCAGGTACTTCACTGCTGAGCTGCAACCCTGGATCTTCTAAAGACGAAAGGGTGATACCTCAAGCCCCAGTTACTCAGGAAGCTGAAGGCAGGAGGATCCCAAAGGCCTCTGGGTATAAGATCAGTTCGAGCAGCACGGCAAAATCTGCAAATTAAACAAATTGAAAATCTCTGCACCTGTTTGATATGTGGTAATCATATCCAAGAGCCTTTATGGATCTAAGAGGTCATATCTACGTTCCCATAGGTAATGGCAGTTGAATTCAATGTAAATTTCAAATACCTCATCGGAGAAGTAAGCACTCATAGCCCTATTCAATGCCACCCATCAAACAGTCGTTCTACAGTTGGCCAGTTTGTGGAAACAGGTGTACGATAAATAAGAAACACTTGGATGTACGGATGATTCTGAGTGTGAGAGAAGCCCTGCCCCCGTGGCCCAGCGAGCCACAGTGGCGTTACGATGGCACTGCTGGGTACCTGTGTCACACGCTTGTTCTGTGGGACCTTGCATGGGTTACTTTTCCCTTTGTTTCCTCCTCCCATCCCCCACCCACGCTGGGTTTCACTATGTTCCTGAGCTTGGTTTCAAACTCATGGGCTCAAGAGCCCGTCCTACCTAGGCTCCCTGAACAGCCAGGACGGGGTGTGGGCCACTAGTGTACACCAGTTAATTTTGTTGATGATCTAAGGGGTGAGAAATCATTTTCGCCTGTGCCATGAAAGTCCTGCCCTAATATCCTCCCAGAGAAACTGGCCCTGCAGGAGCCCTGGCTTGTGCCCAGTGAAATCCCGGCCTTCAGAACTGCAAGACAATGAATTTATGCTATTCAAATACCTCCTTGAGCTGCTAAGATGGTTCAGCAGGTGAAGGTGATTGCCACCAAGCCTCAAGAACTGAGTTCCTTTGATCCATGAGAATTGCATGGTAGAAGTAGAAGGCCAACTCCCACAGGCTGTCCTCTGCCCTCCACACATGCACTAAATGGCTTCTTTATTTCCTGGCTCATCAAAAAATCTTGGATTTCTATTTAGTAATAGCATTTGGAACCCAGAATCTTTATTTTTTTATTTTTTTAGACAGAGTTTCTCTGTAGCTTTGGAGGTTGTCCTAGAACTCGCTCTGTAGACCAGGCTGGCCTTGAACTCACAGAGATCCACCTGCCTCTGCCTCCCGAGTGCTGGGATTAAAGGCGTGCGCCACCAATGCCCAGCTCATCTATCTATCTTTTATCATCTATTTATCTTCTATCATCTATCAATCATCTATCTATCTATCCATCCATCTATTTATTTATATTTTGGGCATGGTCTTACCTTGAAGCCGAGGCTGCTCTCAAAGACTAGATCTTCCTGCTCTAGCCTCCTCAGTGCTGGCATTATGAGATTATGTCACTGTGGCCTGTCTACTGGGGTCTCAAAATTCCATTCTGTGCATAGTGAATTTGGGTATCTGTGCCACCAGGTCTCAAAGCTAGTCCACAGTAGAGGTTTGAAGTGTAAGGGTGGCCTTCAGTCACTGTCCCTCCTGTGAAAGGAGAGGGACACTGCTGCCGTTCAGAGAGCTTGCTCTCACCCTGTCCACCTCTGCCCAGTCTCAACTCTGTCTTATCAGATACAAGACTGGAAGTGTGGGGAGAGTAGTCCAGTGGAGCGGGCTGTGTACCCGAGGCTCTGGAATCAGCTGGTCCCCAGCACTCAAAACAGACCAAAACCACACCCTGCTGCATACATTGGGAGCATAGTGTCTGCTTCACCTGATCATCAGTGAGGATTGGACACACCACACATAGAGGTATTAGTATAAGAAGTGCTGCATGCCATACCCGCTACCAATAAACAGTATTCTTGTCACTATACCTTCACCTCTCCAGAGACAAAGAACAGGAAATAAACAGGAGTGATAAAAATGTAGGTAGGAGCTCCAAATGGGACCCTGGGTCTACAGCTGGTTTTCCTTTGTTGTTAATTTGCTAACACCTTACCTACAGAGCAATTGAGAAGGATAAATGACACCTTGGTATGTGGCCAGTGTTTGGTTTTTGGCCAGAACAAATTCAAGTGCATACAGACAGGATTCTCTCAAAGAGCAAGCCCCTACATTTCTCATGCACATATGACAACTGTACGGAAAGTGGTATGAACGAAACCTGGAGGAAAAAGGTGGCCTGGGGATTGCAGGGCAGAACACGGTGGCCCAGCTTGGAAAGTGAGAGCCCCAGTATTTGTCTTGGTAGCTTGTATCTGAGAATGGGGACATTGTTTCCATTGTTTTTACCTTTCCATGGCATGTAGAACAAGCCCTGCCCGAAGGACCCGCCAGCGATGTCAGCGATGCTGAATTCTTGGCCCATGGAGTGCCCAGTGGTGGGTGGAAAGGGGAAGGCTGTGCTGGGGAAGGTGTAGGCGGGGTTCTTGTGAGATGGGACTTAATTCTGCTACTTTGAATAAGAATTTTGCACTTGAGGTTTCCATTTCAAAAGGAGGGGAAATCTAGAATCAGAGAAAAAGGAGATTGTGTAGCCCAAGAGTTTCTCTCCTGCAGTAGATGAAACCACTCCTGAGAACAGGATCAACTCTAATTAGACATACAGCCCGGACCCATATGGATAGTCAACAACATCACTGGTTGCTCAGTGTCCCTCACTTTGAAATGTCTGTCCACTTACATCCTCTGGAGCATCTCTTCATTCCCTGAAGCTATTGCTCGTTGTTCAACATAAATATTTTTTGAGCTAGAGTTTGATTGTGTAGCCCAAGCTAGTCTTAAATCTGTGGTCCTTTTGCCTCAGATTCAAGTGCTGGGATTACAGTATGTGCCACCATCACCTTCATAATTAACATGCCTTTTCGGGGTGTGGTGTAGTGTGACTGAGACTAGGATTCATCATGTGTTCCAAGGTGGCATCTTGAACTCCCTATGCAGCCCAGCCTCACTTCAAACTTGAAGCAATTTTCCTGCCTCTGCTCCTGAGGGCCTGAATTACAAGCATGCGTCACAACATTTAGTGTAACACATTTATTTTTGTGGATAAGAAACTCATGGTTAAAGAAATTTTGCTGTAGGAGAGAGGTGTGTTCATGTAGGGGTATGTAAGTTTGTGTTCATGTAGGCTTCAAACATAGTCTGCCACATCACCTAGCTTGCAGTATGTCTCCTGTACCTTGTGGTCATACAATGTACATGTGAGAAGTGTGTCAGTCAGCTGGAGTCCTCAACCTGTATTGACAAACTGGGGGAGTTCAGGAAGTCATTTCCTCTTGTCAAGGAAATTAAATAAAAATATTGACATTCAAAATGGAGTTGGAAGTGTTCCAATCAGATCTGATTTGCAGTGCATGCTGCAGGCAAACCCACCACCCATAGAACCGCCTCTGACCTCCCATCCAATGGACCTCTTCCTCCAAAGTACACCAGAACCAAGATGGAACCCAATCCCTTTCTTAACAGACATCCAATTTCAGACGGCCACAATGGCGATTCCTGACTAAAATGTGATGTCATTTCCGTGGTTGATAGCTATTAGTACAGCTATCATTTGGTCAAATCTCTTAGCATACTTTAAAGAATGCTAGAATCTGTGGTTTCCCAGGCTGTAACTCTAATTAGTTTCAAATAAATATAATTTCTCTTGCTCTCAAATAGATTGACTTCATTCTTAATGGAATATCCCTTGGAGCTTGGCTTCATAAAATGAAGGTCGGAAAAAATAATAAAATACAACAAATTTTACTAGACGTTTTTTTTCTTTTGCAGAGTCTCACTATGTCACTCAGGATGGCTTGCAACCTCCTGCTTCATCTTTCCAAGTTTAACTGACTTTACTTTGTAATTTTAAAACAGAGTAAGTGCTCTAGTCAGCTGAGCAGACTTAATCCCTAAAACAAAGAGACTCTCAGTGGAAAGTGGAGGACAGCCGATTAATTGTTTCCAAGTCAACTCCTTTGTGATGGGCAGGTGACTGGGAAATAGAATCCTGATGAGTCGGTTTCAGGTCAGGTTGTCTCAGGTCACTTTTGGGGATTCAGAATTAAAGCAGAGAGACAGAGGGAAATGTGGTATCATTCGGATTCCAATGGCCCGTTTGGGGAATTTGGCTAATGTGCTCTAGTCAGATAGTCCACTTTCATGATTTTTAGCCTGGTCTTAGAGAGCCCAGTGTGGAAGCTTTGTCTGAAGTGGCACATGCCTGGTTTTGCTTTAGCAGGGTTAGTCAGACAAGCTCTGAGTCCCCATGGCTTCTAGGGTTGCCCTGAGTTTTAGAGGACACGCATTCCAGCTGGGTCATTTCCCATCTCATACCTTAAAGTTGACATGGGGAAATTTTTGTTGAGGGCTCCTGTTGCAGGGCTGGGGAGGTCCCACCCCCAGCACCCACATGACAAAGCTGGATGTGATGGTCTGTGTTCATAGTCACGGTGCTGGGGAGGGAGACAGGTAGGTTCCCAGGCTCCCTGGCCCGTCTCACCACGGCCTGCCCCCAAGCGCAGTTTGCACCTCACTTGTTTTGGGTGTTGTTACCTAAAGTTCCTGATTTTCTTCCACCGAGGTGCTAATATCCTTTGGATTAATTCCTGTTATTCATAAACCCTTCCTCATCTTTATTATTCTTAACTTTCCCTTTTCCTACATCAAGCATGCTTTCCTTCCCATCAGAGAGCTTAAATAAGGTGACTCTACAAAGACTCTAATGTGTTGGGGCTTTGGGGCTCTGGAGCTTCTTTCTTTCTTTCTTTCTTTCTTTCTTTCTTTCTTTCTTTCTTTCTTTCTTTCTTCCTTCCTTCCTTCCTTCCTTCCTTCCTTCCTTCCTTCCTTCCTCCCCCCTCTCTCTCTTTCTTTTTGATAACAAGAAGGGAAGAGGAGCTGTTGAGGTATGAGGTATGAAATGTCCTAACACGGTCTTTTTTTGGGGGGGGCTGCTGGTGGTTTTCTGACTTCTCATTAAGCTTGGTCATTTTAGCATTTTAGGGAGCTGCAGGACTAGGGCACCTTGACTCCTTGACTCTTTTATGGACCAGATAAAAAGGTTTTTCTGCTTCCTTCTACGACTTCCCAGAAAGTTGTGTGCTCCGTGTGTGTCCTGCCCAACATTCATTTTAGCCATGCATGACTCATTTTCTCTGTAGGATTCCAGGTGAAAAATCTGAGAAGACTTCGCCCTTGGACTGTAAAAGCTTTTAAATCGAAACTGACAACCCAGAATCGCTCTCCATTGCATTTCTTGTTGACTGTAGCCTTGTTAAAAAGTCTTAGAAGCTGGGCCCAATGGGCCTCTCCTTCACTCTCACCTATTCAGAGGTTGAGCCAGGAGGATGAGTTGAGGAATTCAAGGCTAGGGCAAGACAGCCAGGCCTTTCCAGAGTCCTTGTAGATCACATTTTGAGAAAACTACAAGAAACTATTAGAAGAAATCTAACCCACTCACTCATGGTGATCTCCATAGAGGTAATGGAGGTTCTAGAACCTTCCTAGGTCATATTTTATGGGAATGAGAGGCAGAGGGGCTCAGTGGAAGATGGATGTTTCATCCTCGGTACCTAAGTAGCCTAAGTAGCCAGGCTGAGTGCGGATCAGTGATGGAGTTCCTGGGCATGAATCCCCAAATTCCATCCCTTGAGTTGCAAAAACAACTAAAACCAACAAAACTCCCAAGCCAAAAGAGACTCATTGAATCCATGCTAATTCAACAGAGTCACTAAAATCTTGAATTTTGGGGACTGGGGTGAAGAGAGGATGGTGGGTAAGATGCAGAGTACAGAAGCCAGGAAGGCAACATCTAATGTTTTATGGTATAGCTGGGTTACTGTGGCCCACAACAATTAGTTGGGCATCTCAATATAGTTAGTGTAGAGGATTCCCAATGCAAAGACATTATCTTTAGGTGATGATATGAAATTTGCAGTGCATTTCGTCTATATATCCATCCATCCATCCATTCATCCACCCATCCATCCATCCATTTATAGTGCAACAGTCTCTTGCATTATTGAAGGTAAACTAGTTAGTGTATTTGATAAGCCCCATTTTGAGTGACATAACACAATGAATGTTGATTTCTCATGGGAGGAGGCAGAGGCAGTAGGAGGGAGGGGATTTCCTCACAGTCCTTCAGGAAGCAGCTACAGGGAGGCTCTGCCAGGTGGCCTCACCCAGTGTGTCAACACCCTTCCCAGGGAAGTAGGAAGATGAGAGTCAGGACGAGACAGTCATGCCAGCCCACGTTTGGTGGCCCCAACTCCTTCAAAGGCTCCATCCAGCTGCAAAGGGCTGTGGAATGAGGAAATGGAGTCCCAGACAGATGCTTCCAGAAACAGCTGTGTGTTCTAGAGGGAGCAGGTTCTTCGTTTGCTATGTCAAGAAGCTGGCTGTGAGGGCAGTGACAATGTTCCCTTCCCCCCAAGGAAATTAGTAGCGCTCACTCCCACTCAACCCAGACTGGGAGTCTAAAAGAAATCTATGCAAAGCTCAGGCTATTTTCCCAAAATGTAGTTTTCACCAGCCGCAGCCCTGGCGGGACTCCTTGGATAGATACCCTGCTGCTCCAGTTCTCTGCTCTGCAGCCCTGGCGGGGCTCCTTGGATAGATACCCTGCTGTTCCAATTCTCTGCTCTGTGTTTCTTATTCTTGGAGTCCATCTTAACCGGGCTCCAGAGACACAAGATGACTGAGGATTTGGGGGTGGGGGGCTTCAGCCAGTTTTCCTGTGTCTGTCATCCTTTGATCAAAACTATTCTTTAGGATCTATGCCAGAGGTTCTCAAGCTACCCATGGCATGACCCCTGGGGGGGTGTCATATGACCTTCTCACAGGGGTCCCCTAAGACCATCGGAAAACACAGATGTTTACATTATGATTCATAACAGTGGCAAAATTACAGTTACGAAGTAGGAGCAAAACTAATTTTATGGTCAGGGGTCACCACAACATGAGGAATTGTATTAAAGGGTCGGATCATTAGGAAGGTTGAGAACCACTGTTTCAGGCTCTTAAGCAGAGAGAGCTACCAGGACGTAGGCCACTCTTACCTGTCCTTGTCTTGTGGTTTTCACATTTTTCTTGTTTTTCGGTTGGGCGTCTTCTCCCCACTTGCTGGGTGAGGAGCTTTGCCACACCCTCCACGACACTCACTTTTGTATCCCTTCTCTTCTCCTTTTGGTTTTTCAAGATAGGAGCTCACTCTGTAGCCAGAACTGGCCTCGAAGTCGTGGTAGTCCTTCTACTTCAGACTCCCATGTGCTGAGATCACAGGTCTGAACTAACAAAGTGGCGGCTTTTTCAACTTAAACCTCACTTTTGCAGTAGTCTGGAAGCCACATGCAAATCTGCTTTGCCTGAGACCGCGCGTGCCATCTTGTGGTGGTGACTGGTAACTTCAGGCTTGCCGTTTCCGGAGGAGCTATCTTGACCCGCTGCTCGTTGTTGCTGGGTGTCTTTGCTGAGAGAATACCAGTACTGCACTTGAGCATGTGCTGAGAGCAGTTTCCTGCCCTTGCACACGTAGTGCCTAGCGAGTGGTATAGGCTTGCTGGCTATTTTAAATAAAAACTACCGTCTAAGAGTTTTAAGGACAGCAAATTTACACACGTGATCTCAGACTGTTCATGGCCTCAGTGTGGCCTTGGGCCACAGCCAAGCAGCCACTTTTTTTAGCGGTCCTAAAAGGCTGTCATGGAACAGGCACAGCCCTTCAGCTAGAGATGCCCTTGGTGATGATGCACACAACTCCTGATGCCTGTGACCGCACTGCACACTTGGGCTTCACCTGTCCTGTAAAAAGCACAGCCGCTCGCTGGTGTGTGGTGCAGAACACTTATGTGACCGCAATCCTGGTTTATGTGTTTGCTAGGCTCTTTGGCATTATTTTAGGGCGTACTTCTACTTTTAAAAATACCTTTAAGAGGCCGGGCGGTGGTGGCGCACGCCTTTAATCCCAGCACTCGGGAGGCAGAGGCAGGCGCATCTCTGTGAGTTCGAGGCTGGGCTGGAGCGATAGCCTCCAAAACAATACAGAGAAACCCTGTCTCGTAAAAACCAAAAAAAAAAAAAAAAAAAAAAAAAAAACCTTTAAGAAGGGCAACGAGATGGCTCACTTGGTAAGGCGCATGTTGCCAAGTCTGAGGACGTGGGCTTCATCCTCCGGATGGAGAATAGAGAGAACCAGTTTCTGCAAGCCATCTTCTGACTTCCACACACCAGTCATGCACATGGGCGTACACAGGCATACTCCCAAAGAAATGCAATTAAAAAGATTTCAAATAAACTAAACCATGCCACGTTCTGTGACACACTGCCCATCTCCTGTTGCCTACAGTCCTTGGCTACATGGAGGGCTGAGTGGAGGAACCAGACTAATCTGGACCAGCTTGCTTTGGGTGAGTGCAGTTCTAGGATGCTTAAACAACCATGATGCATTCTCAGAGTGGTGTGCCCTCATCTTAAGAGACTTGTGACCAGATTAGCTCAATTTTACCAAGACTGACCTTCATAGAGGTTAAGAGGCCAAAGCAGAGAGACCAGCAGGCGGAAAAAACTGAGCTTGGGGTCAAGTGTTTAGGCTTTAAATCTTGGATTTTCCCACTATCATAAACCTGGTTTTCTATGAAAATTCCTGGCTGCAGTGCTGGACTGTAGAAAAAAAAATTTCAAACACAGGTAGTAATTCCGAGTCTCTGACTTCACTGAACACAGGTTCTAGAGTCAGTCCCCCCTCATCCCGCCCCCCGTTAAATATGCAAATTAAGTCAAACAAACAAAAGAGTTGTGAAATAAAGGGCTTTTGTTCTTCTGGAGTAGAATTTTTTGCTAGTATTAAATAAACACATTGTGGCTGGGAGTGGTGCTTTTGTCTGTAATTATAGCACTTGAGAGACAGGCAGGAGGGTCAGAAGTTCCAAGTCACCCTCAGCTACCTAACAAGTTCAAGGCCAGCCTGGGCCACAAGAAGCTCTGTCTCAAAAACAAAAAAGTGTGACTCTCCCCCCTTTTCATTGTTGGGAGCCTGGGAATCTATATATGTTAGACAAATGCTCTACTATTTTTTTAAAGCAAAAAAAAACCCATCTATTTTTTCAAGATTAGGAAAGTAGCCACATATAAAACAATGTATTAGCAACATGAATATATAATCAATTAATATACACTAACAAGGAAAAGCCAAAGGAAAAATGAGGAATTGCTTGAATTTCCATTTGTAAAACTAAACAATATAGGCAAGTAAACACGGAAACTACGCAAACCCTCATCAGAAATCAGGAATGTAGACTCAGTTATGGGAACACTTCCAGGAACACTTCAACCAGCTTCTCCTATGTAACTTCATATAACAAAAGAATGTTTTTTCAACGTTGGGCAATTAACCTTGACATAGCAAATAAATCAACTACAAAACCAGTCTGGGTTCCATTAGCTTTTTCTTTAATGCCCATTTTCTTTCTCAGGATCAAATTTAGGACTATATATTGCCTTATCCTCAGTATAGGGTAGGTTTTCAGTCTTTTCTCCTCCTCCTCCTCCTCCTCCTCCTCTTCTTCCTCCTCCTCCTCCTCCTCTTCCTCCTCCTCCTCCTCCTTCTCTTATTATGGAGGCTTGGCTGATAAAACACTCTACTATTAATGTGAGCTATAAACGTGGGTTTTTTGTGTGTGGGGGGGTTGAGGCAGGGTTTCTCTGTGGCTTTGGAGGCTGCCCTGGAACTAGCTCTTGTAGACCAGGCTGGTCTCAAACTCACAGAGATCACCTGCCTCTGCCTCCTGAGTGCTGGGATTAAAGGTGTGGGACACCACTGCCTGGCATTACAAAAAAATGTGTTTTAAGAACAAGAGGAAACCAAATTTGAAATGCATTTGTCTGCAAAGTGCTTGACCCCAATATTTTGCTTCTTAGTTGAGCTGGGGAACCTGACGACAAGGACAGCTGGACTCCCAGAACTCCGCCGCCATGTTGAAGAACCCACCCCAACAGTTGGAAGATTACTTGCTGTCCCTGGGGTGAGCAGCTGCACTTAAAGATAAACATCTTCCCCTGGTGGTCCTCAAGGACTTGGAAACATTCCCCAGACCTCAAAGTTCCAGGCCAGTCACCAAGTACAGCCAGACACAGCCATTGCCTAAGACAGATAACGAGCCAGACAGCCACAAGCGTGCGTGTTTGCATGAAGGTTTGGCACCGATTACCAAACTCCCCTTGTACCCCCACCACCCCGTTTGCAATTTCAGGCTTTAAAAACTCGCTGTAATTTCTGCTTGGGGTTCACTCCTTCTGAAAGCTGTTGAACCCCGGTACGCTGGCTTAATAAAAATCCTCTTGCGTTTTGCAATGAACTTCAGCTCCCTGGTGGTCCTGAGAGGAAGACTGCAGGGTCTTTCAATGTGACCTACACAGCTGCAGCAGAAAATGCTCAAAGCCTTTGATATCCTAGGTAACCAACTTTTTCTTCCCAAGGTGCAATGCTACTGGTCATGTGCTCCTGGCAGTGGGAAGGCCCACAGCCTTGAGGTGAGCAATATTTGCTTTGTGTTCTACAGTTTCCAGAACATTAGTTAAACACACCCATGCCTTTGACATGATCTATGCAGTGGGTGGGTTAGCACTTCCCACTTACTGCCCCCATCCCGGGAAACAGAAGTCTGGGTATTAAGTAAATGGACAGAGGAAGGAGGAGTTATTCTAGTAAACAGAGAAACTCATTCTCAAACGCAGGTTCTTGGATACAGGTCCTTTCCCACATCCACACTTATCTCATAAAACCTGCTCAATCGCTCCAGTCCTTCCCTGTCCGGTGACCGGCTTTTGTGCTATAGAGGAATCTCTCTCCTCTTTCAATAACTCCCCCTCCCCATTGAACACCTACTCAATTCTAGCATTATGTGCTAGGGAATGTAACACCTAACAAACAGACACTAACCATGGCTCTTTTCAGTGAGAGAAGATAGAAAACAAAATGGACAATAAACCAAAGAACGTGGTTTCTGGTTTTTCCAGGGCTGTGACATCACATAGATGGAGGTGAGTATTCTTTTCTACATATGCTGAGCAGAGAACACACATCTGGCCACATTAGGTCGCCACACACAAGCCCAAAGCCTCTTCCAGGTCCCCATTGCTGGGAGGATCAACCCAGCCTCATTTCTCCAGCTTGCTGTCTCTCTTTAGTTTGGGAACACATCCTTCTTCGTAGGTGCTGATCCCGACACACTCCGTAGACCTAGGGCCCACTCCATTCAGTTTTAGATCTCAGCTCTAAAGCCCTGATGGCAATTGCATCTCCCCACACTGGAGGCGTTATTTATTTCCTGTGTTTTGTAGTTAGCCTCCTTAGGTTGGAGCTTAACTTCTAACCCCTTCTGTAGGGCTGGATTTGTAGATAGATATTGCTTAAATTTGGTTTCATCATGGAATGTCTTCTTTTCTCCATGTATGGTAATCAAAGTTTTACTATGCATAGTAGTCTAGGCTGGCATCTGTGGTCTCTTAGAGTCTGCAGCACATCTGTCTGGCCCTTCTGGCTTCCAGAGTCTCCACTGAGAAGTCAGGTATAATCCTAATATGTCTGCCTTTATATGTCACTTTGTCTTTGTCTCTTGTAGCTTTTAATGTTCTATGTCTTTAGTGTTTGGATTACTAGGTGCCAAGGGAACTTTCTTTTCTGGTCCAGTCTATTTAGTGTTCTATAAGCTTCTTGTACCTGATATAGAAATGAATACTTTGTATTGGTATGGATTTTCATTTATTCATACAAATTTAAGGTCAATTTTGTGATATGTATATTTCTCCTCTTGTTTAAGTATTGTGTTTATATTGATCTTTTAAAATGTAATGCATAATTAAATACAGATTTTATATAGTCACCTATAATAGTCAGAACTTATAGTTAGGTTAGTTAGGTTTTCTGGATATACAGAGATGTATTGATATTCTTCAAGCCTTTCAAACACCTACAGAATATATGGCATTTAAATGGTTCAGGGTTTTTCATGATAGTGAGACACAACTACTCCTGGCACACCAATTATGTCTGAGAGGAAGATGGGCATCAAAGAAACTCATTATGGAATTTGCTTTCAACATGGCAAGATTGCCTTTACTGTTTGATAGACTGGACATGCAGGACCCACAGGAAAGTGACTTCTGAACTTGATGGGACAGTCTGAAAGGGTTCCTGCTTCATGGAAGAGTCTGCCAGACATTCTATAGGAGACAGAAAAGCGACTGACAAACTGCCAATGCAGATGGACAGTTTACTATTTCCTGCTTCACTGAGAAGTCTGCCAGACACTCTGTGGCCTATGGGCTGAAGATGGATGCC